GTACCAATAAAAGAATTTAATACAAAAAAAAAACCAAAAAAACTTTATATTACTTTTTCTTCTTTAGTGTGAAATATGCAAACGGCCTTTGGAAAATCTGAAAGCAGGTGACAGTATTTGGATTTATAGACAAACAATACACTGTGAACCTTGCTACTCTAAAGTTATGGGTAAGTGCTACATTCTGTGAGGAACAATTACTTTTTTTTTTTTTTTTTGGTACTGGGGATTGAACTCGGGTCCTTGTGCTAGGAACAATTACTTTTAACGTTAATGAGAATTAAGTATTATTTAAAATTATGTATTTCAATAAAGCATAACTAGTTTATAATTGTATTTAGTTTAAAAATTCAGCTTCAAGTAGTTACATCATGGTCATATTTTGTTTAAAGATATAAAATCAATTAACATTTATATTGTCTCCTGATAATCAAACAGGACATAGATACAACTAAGCAAAGTGGCTGTTTATTTTAGAAAATTTTCCATTTTTTCCAATAAAAATAGATCTTCTCTGATAAAATGATTAATTGAAATTCATTTCTGTGAATGAACTTTTACACTTGCATTTTATGGTCTTTAAAAAATCTAATTTAGGTATTATAATAAGTGCCTTTTATGTTACTTTAAAATGAAAAAAAATAGAATTTTCTATAATTCTACACTAACTTCATTTTTGTTAACAATTTAAGACCAAAGGTTACTATAATTTGGTCTTGTAATTCTCAATAATATGAGAAGAAAACAAAAAGGACACATACTTTTAATTAACATCTATTAATAATACAAAGTAATGGGTTTCACTGTGACATTTCCATCTATCCATGTATCATGTATTGATCATGTCCATGCTTACTTCTATCCTGTCTGGTCTTCTGTCTTCCTCTAGTCCCCCTGCCCAGCCCCTAATAGTCCCTCTTCTACTTATGGTGATATTTTTTTCTTTCCACATATGAGAGAAAGCATGTCATACTTCCTGTATCTGACTTATTTTGGTCAACATGAAGAACATGTATTTTTAACTACCATTTTCTGTAAAGTAAGCATGAAAAGTTTAAAAGCTTACCTAAGAGATATGCACAGTGATGATAAGTGAACAACATAAAGTCCTATGAAGCTTGATTGATTTTAAAAGTCGGTATCTACATTTTATTCAATAGTATCTAGGTACAACAATGAAAATGATATCAAGGAGAAGGTCCACAGTACTGTTTGAAAGGCAATTTTTTCCTGATGTCTTGTTGCTGTAGTGAATGAAAGGAACATTTGGGATTCCTACGTGGGATCCAAACTATGGAACTTAATGACAAATATGTCAGCCTAATGAGCTACTGAGATGCTACATCTGGAAAATGCACCGAAAAAATATTCAGAAACCCACGTTCCATCAGGCTGCAGAATCAATTGCAAAAATAGAGCTAATTATATTCATACTTTGTCTTCTATTTTCTGCTTTCCCCAGACAGTTTTCAGATTTCACTTTTCTTTCTAATTTAGCAGCCTTATTACCATCCAATATTACATCATGGGTCTTAATGGACATGGTGGGAGTTCTAAAGCTTTTAGTCTCTCATAACTTGATGACATGACTTAGGGGGTGTGGTTACCAAAAGACTCAGAAGTCTTGGTACATTCTTCCCTGACTATATACACTCTATAGGCATATCACATTTTATAATACCCATAGGTTGTCAGGCTATGACTCTCAGGTACATCTTAAATATGCATATCTAGCATTTAGTACTTCATGTATGACCAAAAGCCACATTGCTGAATTAAGTAGTAGAAGGTAAATTGGAATGCTTAATCCATCACTACTTACTGGATGAAGTGTCTTTTTTTGAATTTCGATTGTGGGCTTATTTTTGTACTGAATTTGTTATCTGTTCTTTTTCCTCCCAGCCAAGTGGATTCAATAATGCTGGCACATGGAAATCAAGATGAAAAGCATTCATTAGAGAATTAAAAGTTCCAAGTTTTAAGAACATGCAATCTAGACAAGCTTTTACATTGAAGATCAACATTTGTATAAAATTGCAATAATTCTGATATTATATAAATAATCTAATTACTTTTAATAAGATTATATAAATGAAAAGAGTCATCTGGGATCTGGCTAGTGATAAGAAACTCACAAGGTTCTAGTTCCTAATGTCAAAAGAATAATGCACTCGATGGTGGCAAATGTCATCAGCCATAACCAGGTCCATCCCTGGATGTAGATCATAGTTCCCATTATAGCAAAGTTGCTTATTTTTCTCACCTTTATTCTTCTGAGAATTTAGGTTCTCAGACATTATTGAAATCCTAACAAATATATTAAATTTTTCTGCAAAAGAAATATTGTTAGAAATTTTCCTACAGACTTTGGCACAAAGATGTGAACATAAAAAGTTGTATATATCTTAGAAAATCACTTAAACTTTCTATATCTCCATGACATTACTTGTAACATGGGAGGTATTAGACAAAAAGATTTCTACTTTTTACTTTCCCAGTTCTCTTTTTCTGAAGGAAGTTTGAATTTGCTCATTAAAAACATATAGTATATGTATTTGTTAAGCTTATTGACAAAAGATGATACATAAACAATTTGACCTTAGTGTCATCCTTCATTTTATCACAGCCATAGTTTATATGTACTGTATTTTAAAAAAAAAGAAATAGATTTATGGGAAATAGGTGAACTAAATGACATGTACAGTTTACATATTATAATCTGTTAAGCTTTCTTTGCATGTAATTCAAAAATCTGGATATACAAATAATCTATAAGAAATAATGGTTATGGATTATAAAGGCACATTACATGTATTCATATTACATAGCACTTTATATTTACAAAAGGCTTATACAAATAAAGTGAACTATCAGTTACACAGAATTTTTATAGTGTCTATAAATATCCATTAATATTGTTTCTGTCAACTCTAGTGATTACAATTTATTATATTCTATGCTATGCTGGTTAACTTACTTTTTAATTACTTAAACTTTAGTTTTTGAAGAGCTTTATAGAAAGGAATTTAAAACAACAATTACGAGAAACTATAATTGTTATTAATATTGAGAAATTGAACTTATAAAATATTTCAGAGATACATAACTGTTTCTTGCAGGGAGGCATATTGAAGTGGGGATGAAATTCTAAAGTGATTTTAAGCAACTTTGAGAAACTGACATAAATAGAGATGTTGAAAGATAATCATGTATTTTGCAATTGGTGACAAATTCAAAGAATTGTTCTCCTGTGTAATACTTTCTTGCATCTGTGCTTCTTAGAGACTGGTTTACAAAGTGTTAAAACACAAAGCACTTATCAAAATACAGGAATGTATAATTGTCCTATGGAGAGGGAGCCAGAGAAAACAATTAATAATAATTTGATATTCATTAATTCATGCTTGAAGAGAAGAGTGGTAATTGAGCCATGTGCTTTATTGTTCTTTTATTACATGCTATCAGAGCAGATCAAAAGAAATAATTTTCTTAGAGTTGAAATTCACTGCAGCAAAGGATGGATGAAATAGCATCCCTGCCTTTTCCATGAAGTGTATTAACATCTCAATGCTTTTGTAGTAATTAAAAATCATCTGAATATCATTTTAAAAGTATGAAAATTTAAAGGGGACACAATTCTCACTTTTCTATAGCTGTTCTATGGATGTTTTCTTCTGTAACAATGTATTAAATCAAACTAAATGTTGTTGTATAAATGGAATAAGTACAGAGTGGAGAGAGAAGGGCTTCTGATTCATTAAATCCACTACATTATGTCTGAATTTATTCTCAGTATAGGAATGACAGATCTCTAAAATGACTGGGAAGATCTCATTTTTTATAGCTAATTAATTGCATTATGACTGTCACACTTTTCTTGGATACTGTTCCCTAAGTCTAGGAATTCTGTTGCTAATTAAAAGATATCTCTATAAGAGAAATAATGATTCCATCAGGACACTATCTTTTCAGGAAAGCAAAAGAAATACAATAATCTCAGAAATGGAATTTGTTAAAATAGCATGTACTTTTAAAGTAAGACCAAGAAATTAGAATTTATTTGAGAAGTAATCTGTGTATCCTTAACTGATTGTAATCACTGAGCTACTTGAATATACAGCATGTGATGAAATGGTCTAGCTATTACTGCCAGTTCACTCTCTGACATGTTTACTGTGGTAGAAAGTCATGAGTGAGTGGAACATTTTCTTTCTCAGCTGTATTCAGAGATCTATCAAAACAAGCCACTGATCTATATCACAACAATTATATCGAAGTGATTTTTTAGAACTATGTAATTGTTTTTTTGCTACAATATATAATCTGCTTTTAGAGTTTCACCTATTCCATAGAATTCAGCAGTTCCCAAAAGCACCTGTAAATATCCTCAACTTGAATGGGTCATGTTCACTCCTAGATCCACTCCCTACTGTTTAACATGTGGAGTTAGCATATTGACTTTGTAATGTACCTACCAGCTCAGCATAGATGTAAGTTTATTCTTGTTACTCACCTTATTTTTAAGTGGTCTTTTTTATTGGAAGCCTTCAGGAAATGGAACTTAGAATTTCATTTGAATTTATCACAACATAAAAGTTGGGCATCATTCTGACCCTTATTTACTAGATCTTTATCTTTCTATTTGAGCAGGATGGCTTCTGAGAGATGTTTACTGAAATATTCAAATGCCTGAGTTAGGTTATGATTCCAGTTTTTTTTTTCACTTTAAGAGGGAGTGAACATCCTCTTTGCCTTGTAAATACTGTCTAAGAAGGATCTCTTCAGTGTCTCTGCATTCTCTTTTGTACATTCTTCTCATTAATACATTTAAATACTCAATTGTTCTATCTGTATAAAAATGTATGGTTTATAATTTACATTTATCCATGCTATTATTATACAACTTACTCTTTTTCTTTAAGAACCTGCTACGTTCCAGGTCCTGGTGATCAAATAAACAGCTAAAGTTTTTGTCCTCATGAAACTTACCTTCTACAGAGGAGAAGAGAAGAAACAGAGAGCCAGGATTGTAGCTCAGTGGTCCCACACCTGCCTTACAAGCTCAAGGTCCTGAGTTTGATCCCTAGCACCGAGAAGAAAAAAAGAAAGAAAGAAAAGAAAGAAGAGAGACAGAAAACAAATGAATGCAATTCTGGAATTAATAAGAGCCATGCAAGAAATAAACACAGTGACTAAATGAGAGAGTATTTTAAAAAATAATGTAATAAGATGAAAAGGAGATATTTTTTAAAAAATAAATTCTAAATAATGGAAAGGGATCAGTGTGGGAAAAAGCCTTCCAAGAGAAGCTGCTTTAGATTTGGCAAAAATCAGACTATTTTCTGGGCTAAAGCTAACCTTGTTTCTTTTCAAGGCAATGAGATGGAAATTCAAACACGAAGACACAGAGACCAAACAAAAAAGTTTTAAGATTCCTCTGTTACCTGTGCAAAATAATATTCAGATATTACTCAGACTGCTTTCAGCTCTCTACAAAGGGTGAATTACAGTGAAGGGCTGCTTGGTCCCAGGTAGATGGTGCAGTGGTGAACAGCAGAGAGAGGGCCTCTCCAAGGCTTGTTGTTCAGAGCTGAAACCCACCAGGAGAGTGAAGGAAGTCACTGTAATAAAGATGCTGCAGACTACAGTGGTTGATGAGTCATTGAGATCAGCACCCCTACTAGAACCCAGACTCACTGTGGGGGAAGAGTTGGAACCTGAAGTAGAACTGTGCAAAGTTCAAACCCACAGGAGGTTAGGGAGGTCACGTCTGGCCTTGCAGCCAGAAACCATCTTAAATTTCAGTAGACTATGGTTGGCTCACTGAGTTTAATTGACTTGGATCTACACATTGCTGCCCACTTTGTCTACCAGCAACAGCAGAGACACAGACACACCTTGAAGGGGACTTTTCTTTTTTTTCTTTTTCTTTTTCTTTTTCTTCTTCTTCCTCTTCCTCTTCCTCCTCCTCCTCCTCCTCCTCCTCCTCCTCCTC